AATCTTCAAAACATTATAACAATATAATTGTAATTAGATATGAAAATATTAGTTGTCCAATATTATCAATTTATCAAAGTAACATTGAAAAGCCCTTAAATGAAAATCTCAAGTTTTCTGTCAATCAAATATTTTACTTCCTAATAATTTAAATTTTCTACAAATTTTTTAAAATTTGCTACCTTCTATATTAAAATTATTATCATTTGTATAAAATTTTTGAATTTAAAAATTATAAATACTACTTATTTGTTGTAACTGCTTTTATCTTTAACATATTTCATAAAGAATGTCGCACATGTATTTAATATTTCTGTGTATAAAATTATATATTTCTATTTTCTTATTAAAATATTCTCTTTTAAAAAAATAAAACAAAGAAAGGAAAAATAAGAAAAATAAAACAAAAAGATTGACGAACTATGATTATATTTTAAACCACTTATTTGTTGTAACTGCTTTTATCTTTAACAATTTTATAATAAATATCACTCATGTATCGAACATTCATGCACATAAAAGCATATATTTCTATTTTCTTATTAATATATTCACTTTTAAAAATGATTTGATATTGTCTTCAAACAAAAATTATAACAATAATAATGAGAAAAATAATGTTTCATAGTCACCTTTTAGTGAGTTAGTGAAGGGACAGAAACTAAACAAAAAAATTTCAAAAATTAAAATAAGAATTATTAAAATAAATTAACATTATTAAAAAAATAATTCAAAAATAATTTTAAAAAATAAAAATAAAAATAATTCAAATAAAGTAGATAAATAAATAAATATAAAATAGACATAATATAAATAAATTAAAAATTAATATAAATAAATTGATATTTAAATTTTTTTATAAAAGTTGATCGATATCAACTATTATTAAAATAAATATCTATAAAAATTATTTAAATATTAATTTTATTGATGTAATTATTATAGTAAAAAATATCTAAATACTTGCATGAGGTATCTTTAATAAATGAATAATCTTTTTACCGTCACACAAAAATAAAAGTAATAATCATTATACATGTATAAAGTAAGAAATAAAAGATAAAAATAATAATACAAATGTGAAGAGTAACACAAAGTACAAAGGTAAAGATCTGAAAGTGAAGTCACATATTTATACTCACATAGAACAAGAGCATTTAGACCACTAAAAATTAATAAATTAATAATAGGAAAATTGATTATTAAAATTTAATATTAATACAATTATTAGAATTATAAGAAAAAAAATTAGTATTAAATGTTAATATTAATACAATTATTAGGTGAGTAGTTGAATTTTTTTTGTATATATTAAATGACAATAGTAATTTTTAAAATTGTAACTATTCAATTCATTAATTGTATGGTTATATAATTATAACAAATAAATTATTTAATATGTTAATGTGTATTTGTATATTTTTAAGAAACTTTATTTTATTAATTTATAATTTTTTTAATAAATACAAGATAATAGGAATTTAAGAGAAAAAGTAATAGAAGAAGTTATAGAAATTTAATGACTATTTAATATATAATTTTATTAATAGTAAATTTAATGATTATTTAAGTGAGATAAAAAATGGAAGAATTTATAAAAAATAATTTATATTTAAAACATGTTAATGGTAAATGAATTATTAAAATTAGTTTATAGTTAGGTAAGATTAAAATTTTAGAAAATGAATAGTTTTATAAACTGTCAATTAATAACCACTTAAGAGAGAAATTAATGAAAGAATTTAAAAAAATAATTTTTAATAAAAATATATTAATATTAAAGTAATTGTTAAAATTAATTTACAATTATTTTAATATTATTAACTTTTTTTATAATTTATAGTTATAGTTATATAAAAAATAATAAACTAAAGATTTCTATAAAAACAATATAAAACATCTCCTTTGTACATATCAAGTTTAAAATACTATAAAGATAATAAATATTTTAATATAAATGGAAAAAATCATTTTATAATAAATTTTAAAAAATATTTTTATTTATATTATTAAACTAGTAAAATAAAATGCTTTGAAACTTTAAATTATCATATGTATATTTTATTGAGTATAAATTAATTTTTGATGATTAAAATGGATTTTATTTTAATATTTTAATTAATGGATATCATTGTCCATAGAGATAAAATGTATGTTAAGTGGTGAAGAATGAATTTTAATAATATTGATTATAAATATTTTTTATAGTAAATAATATTATTTTTATTATAAAAAATTATAATTAAATAAAATTATGTAGAAAATGATCTCTTTTATATTGATTGTTTCTTGTGTTATATTTTAAAAAATTGATATGAATATTATAATAATAATAATAATACTATATAAGTTAATTATGTATAATGATTATTAATTATAAATTTTAATGCAATTGTAATCCAATTAATTATTGATTGTGTTAACATTAATTATTAAATGTGTAAAATATCTATCTATTCATTAGTTTTCTTTCATTATTTAAAAGATATTTATTTTATTTATTTTCATTATTTCATGAGTTTTATTTTCTTTAAATAATAAACATATTTAAAGTATTTATAATAAAAAAAATTTATTTTTGTAACATTTTATTATGTAATATTAACATATAGGAAAAATATTATATGTATGAATTTTTATTGTTCAGAAATAAGAAATTATATTGTCTTATAATATTGATAATACAAATTAAATAAATTACAATTTATCCTAACAACTGAAAATTATGACTTTATAAATACTTAAAAGTGAGTTCTTATTTTTAGTTAATATATTAAGATTAAATGTTTATTATATTAATATATAATATTAGTTATGGAAAAAGTCAAAGGATGTGAAATAAAATTATGTTATTAAATTGAATTGAATAAATATAATGATTTGGTGTGAAAAATTAAAAAAAAAAAAAGTGATAAAAATCTACCACATAAAAAATAGGATTTTTAATATGATGTGAAATAAGTTTTTCATCTATCATATTTTTTATATTTAATTGTGACACGTATTTTTTGAGTTAGACATATAAATGTTATATTTAATGTTAAAAATAGTTTCACTGAAGTTTGAACTCAGGATACTTCACACATTACTTCAAACACCCAGTCATTGAACCATTTGTCTTCATCTATTAATTGTGGCTGTTGTTTTGTATTTAGTTATTTCTCCATCAACTGCAGTATTACCAACTGTATTGCACACCACATAACTTCATACATTCTACAGAGACTTGTTCAATGTTGAGCAGATACTGTGCAAAAACTCTTGAAGATTTTATTATAAATTTATAATGTCTAAATACTAAGACTTTAGAGTATTAAATGGCGACTAAAGTTAGACTTCAATCCTAAACCAACTTCTACGTAGAATATTATAACTATTCTTCAATCCTAAACAAAAAACTATGACTTTAGAAAATCGTAAGAATGTCAACACTGGAGTTCATTCTATCTCTCTCCTTCATATTCACCAAATCTCCAACCTCTCCCTTTCTATAACAACCAATTCATCAATTTTTAATATTTTGGTTTTAGAGGAGACTGTACATGCAAGCATTTGCATAGTGTGTCTGAAAGTTTTTTTTGTTTGCTGCGTTTATCAATTAAGAACTAACTAATAACATTGAGCATTTGGTTATTTTGAAAGCAAATGAATATAATAACGGCTTAACTGTTATTTAAAAAAAAACTGCTTAACTTCTCCAATGAAAACAAACCCAGAAACAGAAGCAAACCCATGAACCTGTCTACCATGTTTCAACGCTTTAAAACCCATCTGCTTTGTTTTCTTATCATCAATTCATTAATTATTTCACAATTAGGTTTAATTAATTTGTTTGATAGGTTAGTGATTTCAAGCAGAAAGAAATTATGCGATGCAGTTGATAATAATTAGGGGTGTTTAAAACCAAACCGGCCCAATAGAAAACTGCAAAACCAAACCGAACCAAATCAAAATCGCAAAAAACCGCATTTAGTTCGGATGCGTTTGGGTCATTTTCTCGCGGAACCGTACGGTTCGGTTCGATTTGCGGTTTGTATTTTACAAACCGAACCAAACCAAACAAAACCGCATTATGTTATAAAATCTTACTAACCAATATATATTTCTTTAATTTTTTAGAGAAATAAACATGTATTATGTGTATATTTTATCATACCTTATATTATATTCATTTTAATTTATAAATCATAAAAAAAAAAAATATTATTCATTTATAAATATTATTTCCACAAATTATATTTTATCGTATTATTTGTATAATATTTATTTAAGAATGCAATCTTGTTTATATCATTCTTTAGATTTAGATAAAATTATAATACGCAATTTTATGTATCAAATTATAAACTTATTTTGACAATTATAAATTTTTTTATGGTAATGTACGAACAATTAAACACAAAATTATATTTTACTCTATATTTGTTTGTATGACTTAATAATTTTTTTTGTAAAAAATCGAACCAACCGAACCAATCCAAACCGCATTAGTTTGGTTTGGTTTGGTTTGGATTTATTTTTAAAAGCCAACCGAACCAAATTGAACCGCGTGTTTTTTTCTCTTGCGGTTCAGATAATTTTTTGCTTCAAAACCGCTCAAACCGCACCGCGAACACCCCTAATAATAATGCATTTGATGGAAAAATAACTATATACAAAACAGTTGGGTGCTTGAACATGCGTGAAGTGTCCTGGGTTCAAACCCCAGTGAAACTGTTTTTTAACATTTATATGTGAAACTCAATAAATATAAAAATTAAATATATGAAAAATTAAAAAAATTACATGTCAGCATGCCAACAAGAAATTAACCATATTTTTTAATCTAAAATAACTCCTTTTTATTTTGCCCGTTGTGGTTGCTTGGCTTCTTGCTAATGCTAACCAAAACTAATAATGCATTTATAAACAAGCCACCGAAACAGAAAAATCCCGCAATTCATTTCATTCTATCTTTCACTTCTCCACAAAACACAAACAAGATTACAACACCATTTCTAATGTCTTACCCTTACATTCTCTTTTCCCTCTCTCTTCTCTCTCTCCTCACATTCTCCTCCTCAATCCCAAACCCAAACACCATTTCTCTTCCACTCTCCCCACTATTCACCAAATCCCAATCCTCAGATCTAATCAACTCCCTCAAAACCGCCGCTACATCTTCTCTAACAAGAGCCCACCACCTCAAAACCCAAAACCCAAATCACAAGAAACCTTCCTCCTCCCCGACCAACACACAAATTTACCCCAAAAGCTACGGCGGTTACTCAATCAACCTCAACTTTGGAACACCGCCGCAAACATTATCCTTCATCCTAGACACAGGTAGCAGCCTCGTATGGTTCCCATGTTCCTCCCACTACCTATGTTCCAACTGCAACTTCCCAAACATCAACCCAACAAAAATCCCTTCCTTCATTCCCAGAAACTCATCCACCTCAAAAATCCTCGGTTGCACAAACTCCAAATGCGGTTACATTTTCGGACCAGACATCGAATCTCGTTGCCGAGGTTGCAACCCAGAATCTCAAAACTGTAGCAACATCACTTGTCCAGCTTACATAATCCAATACGGTTTAGGCTCAACCGCTGGTTTCTTACTATTGGATAATCTCGATTTTACCGGCAAAAAAACAGTGGAAAATTTTCTCGTAGGTTGTTCCATTTTATCTACCCGACAACCCTCCGGTATCGCCGGATTCGGTCGAGGACAAGATTCTCTCCCGTCGCAAATGGGACTTAAGAGATTCTCTTATTGCTTACTTTCTCACCAATTCGACGACTCGCCGGAAAATAGTAACCTCGTTTTGCAGGTTTCTTCCACCGGAGATACAAAAACAAGTGACTTAAACTACACGCCGTTTCGGAAAAACCCATCAACGAACAACGCGGCATTCCTTGAATATTATTACGTGAATCTTAAGATTGTTGTTATTGGAGGGAAACATGTTAAGATTCCGTTAACGGTTTCGGAACCGGGGATAGATGGTAACGGTGGAACCATTGTTGACTCTGGATCAACGTTTACATATATGGAAAAGGAAATCTTCGATTTGGTTTCGCAAGAGTTTGAGAAGCAGCTTTCTAATTATAGCAGAGCGAAAGAAGTTGAAGCTGCATCGGGGTTGAGTCTATGTTTTAACTTCACCGACGTGAAAACGGTGAAGCTTCCGGAGATGGTGTTTGAGTTTAAAGGGGGTGCGAAAATGAAATTACCGGTTGAGAATTATTTTTCTTTGGCGGGTGAAGGGGAGGTGGCGTGTTTGACTGTTATGTCGGATGGAATTTCTGCGCCGGAGAGAAACGGTGGTCCGGCGATTATTTTAGGGAATTATCAGCAGCAGAATTTTAACGTTGAATTTGATTTGGAAAATGATAGGTTTGGATTTGGACCTCAGATTTGTCAAAAAAGTGCTTAATTTTTTAAGCAATGATTAACGACAGGTTGGAATTGGAAATAATAGTGTTGAAACTTGCATGTGCTGGCTTTTCAACGGCGTTGAAAATGAAATCACGGTGGTTATCGAATGCATGGCTGTGACAATGCGTCGTGGCGGGGGTGTTTATTATTATTTTTTTTAATATTTATTTTATTGTTTATTATTGTGTCAATGGAGTAAGCATAAGATTATTCCTTGGCTTTTCTTTTTATTTACTTTTGCATAAAGTTACTAAAGTAATTTAATTTTGCACAAGTATATAAATGCACGCTTAGTCATCAGCTTTTCGAATCAAATATATAAAGCAGGAACGTGTTACATTCTTTTTTATGTTTAAAGTTGTGGTACAGTGATTAATGAATTATTACTTATATCATGTTACAAAGATAAATATTTAACTATATCATGTAAACTTATTTTTAAAAAATCATAAAATAAAACATGCCACTAAAAAACATTATGATTTTCTTTTCAAAGAAATGGAAGAATTTTTTTCATAAAAAAGATGATAAAATTTAAATACTTATTTTTAATAAATAATTCTCAATATTATCAACCAAATTTTTATAAATAAAATTTTCATGAATTGTTAATTTAAAAAAATATATATTATTTATAAGTTAAATTCTCACTATCTAAAACAGTCACCTTTTAAAAATATTTTTAAAATTAAATGTTTATGTCAACTAGAAAGAAAGAGTATTTAAGATAAATTTGATTTAGACTTAACACATCTCTACAAAATCAGGTTGTGAGTGAAAATAGTCCTCACTTATAAAGATATGTTCAGACATTATATTATTCGATATGAGATTTTTAATATATTATTCTCATATTTATGGCTGAATATTTAGAGTGTAACAATAAATGGTGGATGATCTAATAACAGAAAATTAATTTATAGTGGATGGTTCTCCGAATCTTAAACGATGTTCTTAATACCATATTAATAAATATGGTTTATTCTAACTTATCCTTATAAACCTTTTATTCTAACTTATTTTAACGTATCCTTATAATCCTTTCAACTACATTTCTTAACTTTTAATGTGAATAACTATGATAAAGAGATGATGAAATTATAACTATAAATAATGTATTTTTAGAAATAATGAAAATAATTTCTTATTAGATACTTCCATTGTTATTTAAAGAATACATATAAATATGTTAAAATGTTGGATTGAAGTGTGAGTTTATATTTTCTATAAATAAATAGAATGTTAGATTTATACGAGAAGTGACTCATAAATAGATTTTAAGGTTTTGGATAGAGATATGGTGTTTCCTTCTCGTATTCCTTAGACTCCCAAACAAGTCATATCACAACCTAGTTCAACTTTATGGAGGTGCGGGAGTCGGATCATGTTATAAGAGATGTGATCTCACACTTTTAAGGAAGATTGATGGATTCAAGCTTGAGAGGTGTTAGTTGAGAATATCGATGACATGGGGCATTAAGGAAAATGAAGAATTCGAAAAAAAATTAGCTATGAAAGAGAATATGAGAATATTTTCTTATGATCTTCGAGTGACCAAGCTATAAATAACGTGGTTACATTAAAAGGTTCACGAAAGTTCTTATACTGCAGAATATATGGAATTTAAGGGAATTTGAAGTTTCAAATTCAAATCATTTGACAAGTCGCGTTGGGTTTTGGCACTTTGAATTGAAGACAGATTTGAATTTAAATGATTTGATCTTATCCAAAAGGACGCGTGGAGGCCTGACAATTTGAAGGAGCATGCAAGGAATCGAACGTGGCGCTTTTGTCGAAAAAGACCGTTAGGGTTGAATTAGTATAAATAGGGATCTTTGTATTAGGATTCAATAAGTTTACTTTTGTACAAGTTACTCATATAAACTCGAAGTACCAGTGTGTTGGCTCTTGAATTCGACACCTACTATATATTGGCCTTATGGGCCAAAAATAGAACAAATAAAGCCAAGCTGGAAAATGCTTCGACATATGGAAAAAACTTAGAGAAGATATATGAGTTACAAATTGGTCTTCGACCAGACATCACCATTAAGCTTTCGACTGGAAAGGTCCTATGACCTTCGACTAGAAGAACAAACCTTCGTGTCAACACCAAAGACGAAGGATATTTGAATTTGAATTATTAGAGGGAAAGACAGTTCGCCAGCAGTTAAAGGAAAGCGATGTGGTAGAAAGATAGAGGTCGAGGGACATGCAGAAGACACCTGTCTTCATCTTAGAGAAAAACCATCCCTCGACGGTTACGTAATTTTAGTATAAAAATAGGAAGTCTGTGTAGTTTTTCCGGGTGTTCAACCTATTGTGCTAGTTACTCAATATTATTCAAGTATCCGCTGTGTGCGAACGAATAACCGAGAATGTACGTTGGAAACACCACTTTTCATTAATAAAGTCTTTTTACATTTATTTTGATCTTCTTTTTACAAAGTTCGCTTTCCAGCACCTTTATCTGCACTTCTATTTACTTTCTTATTTTCCAAAACCACAAACACTATATCCTTGATCGAACGTGCGTTCTTCCTAGATATCCACTTTTACATCAAACCAGCATAAAAGTTAGCATATGTTCTGGGATCAATCTGATCGATCCCACGAGTAACCAAAAGGACTTTCCTTTTTGGAGGATCAGCGGTTGTTTACCAAAAACCACGATAAACAAATTGGCACACCCGGTGGGACGTTGCTAATTTTTATCATATATCTTGTTCATGTTATTGCTTTCTTTTTTGTACATATACAGCGTTACATGTTATTAAGAAGTGGTAGAATAACCAACGAGTGTACTGTTAGGAAGAGAAATAGCAAAAGTAGAATGGCTAACGAGTCAAATCATGGAGAAATACCTCCATCAAATACTACTGGAACATCGGTTATAACTACCGCTGGAGAAAATATCTCAACTTCTGTTGGTTCAGTACCAACGTTAACCACGAATCAAATAGGACCCTTACTTTCGTATGTATGTCCTAGAGGTCCATTAGGAACACCCCCACCAAGGGCAAATCCAGGATCTCGACCGTACGTTTCCCCAGGATTTTCAACAGCCTGGATGGGTCGAGAACAACCATATGGCATGCCAACCACTGAAATGGCCAGCCTTATGAACGTTGCGTCTACTTTTTCAGAATCTTTGGTGAGTGTGTCATCGCTATTACAGGGATCTGGAGCCAGTATGGAAAATTTGGGTAGAAACAAACTTTTAGGAGGACCATCACATGCAATACCAAGTCTCACAAATGCTTCCGCAACAATTTTGAGGCAATAGATGGATGAAAGCAACCATGCTATGGTGCAAATGCTGGCACAAACTTTAAGTACAGTGCTGAATCACCTAATTCAAATACTACGCAGTCGAATCAGCAAATGGCAGCACAAATGACGCGCATGGCCGAATTCTTTGGGGTACCCCAAACTATTCGACAACCCCAAAGAATACCAATGAGAATGAACCAAGGAGTAATCATGGAAGAGGATTTGGCCGTTAATCAAAATCCACAGATCCCTAGAGTAGAAATAGAACAACCTAGGGTCGAAATACCTCGAAATCCCCCACCAATCCCTAGAGAAGTCGAGCAAGGAGTGATTATGGTGAATAGGAACCAAAATGCTGATGAATTGATACAACAAGTTCAACACCAAAATTATGGAACAGATAATAATCTGACTGCCATGATCGAAAGGATTATGATTCAGAATGGGATGAACGTTGGTTTTCACAGACCAAACTTCACATCCCCATTGTCAGAATATATTCTGCAAACAGACTTACCCCCTAGGGGAAAAGTCCCCAAGTTTACCAAATTCTCAGGAGATACGACAGAATCTACTGTCGAACATGTGGCGAGATATTTGATAGAAGTCGGGGAAATAGCAAACAACGAAAACCTTAGGATTAAATATTTCCCAAGTTCTCTAACAAAGAACGCTTTTACTTGGTTCACTACCATCCCAGCCAATTCGATCCACAATTGGAATCAATTGGAAAGGTTGTTCCATGAACAATTTTATATGGGACAGACCAAAATAAGTCTAAAAGAACTGGCTAGTGTGAAGAGGAGATTCACTGAGCCAATAGATGAGTATCTAAATAGGTTTCGATTACTTAAGGCCAGGTGCTTTACCCAAGTGCCTGAACATGAATTGGTCGAAATGGCAGCAGGGGGCCTGGATTATTCAATTAGGAAAAAGTTAGATACCCAATACTTGAGAGACATGGCCCAACTGGCCGATAGAGTTCGACAAATAGAACACCTTAAAGCCGAAAAGGATAAAGCAACCAAAACTCATCGAAGAGAAAGAGTAGCCTATGTCGAAATGGATGATGAAGATCCTGAGACATCTAGTGATCCTATAGATGTCGAAGAAGGCAAGATAGATTTGGCAGAATTAAAATAAGGGCCGCCATATTCTTGTAAATTGCTAGTGCCCTCAAATGGGAAGAATCTTGTAGAGTCTGAAAGAAACAGCGATAAATTCCATAAGAAAACATATAGTTTTGACATCACTAAATATGATGAAGTATTTGATTTATTAGTCAAAGATGGCCAAATGATAGTGCCCCCGGGAGCAAAGATGCCTCCTTTAGAGCAAAGAAAGAAAAGAGGTTTTTGTAAATACCACAATTTTCTGGGCCATAAAACCTCACAATGTTTTCTTTTCAGGGATCTTGTTCAACAAGCACTCAAAGAAGGAAGGCTCAAGTTCGTTGATAAGCCAGCAATAAAAATTGACGCGAACCCGCTACAAATGGAGGCACATTATGCTGAGCCAGTCGGCATTCATATGGTTGAAGTCTCTGAGGACTTCGTTAACAAGCCCGTATTTGGCAGTTTTACTAAAAACATATCTAGGAAAACAATCAAAGGGGCGAGGAAGGCTACTGAAGGCCTAAACCTGAACAAAGGAGCTACTGAAGGCTCAAGAAACAAGGCCACTGAAGGCCTAAACCTGAAGAAAAGGAGCTGTTGAAGGCTCAAG